CTGACCAGAACTTTGGCTGGAGATCCTGGCTAGAGGTCCTGACTAGGCTGCTGATCAACTGAAGGCTGTCTCGTGTCATTCCTTCTTCGCCGACTCCGTCCACACCTTTGGGGACCCCTGGACCTGCTGGGGTTGGACCCCAACATCTGGCGCCCGAACAGGATTCCCGAAGGTAAGTCCCCCCGCACTCGGGACGGATAGGACTGCACCGTAGGGTGCTGCAGACCCCCCCTATAGAGGATAAGTAGGGTAAGCGGGTAGTTAGTACAGAACTTAGATTGACAAGATGGGTCATACTGAGTCTAAAGAAAAAAGACTCTGTATTAATCTTTTAATGCATCTGCTTGCTAGCAGAGGAGTTAAGGTTACTCCCAGTCAGATAGAAAGTTTTATAGAATATGCATGTCAATGGCTTCCTGAGGATGGAACTGTTAATTTAACAACTTGGACTAAAATAGGAGAGCAGTTTATGAATTATCACAATTTCCATGGACCTGAGAAGGTCCCGGAAAATACCTTTTCCCTCTGGAATTCAATTCGTGGCATCTTGGCACCAGAGGCAGAAACTATTGAACTTTCTCAAACTTTAAATAGTCCCTCGGATCCACCTAGAGAGGACACATCATTATTGTCTCCAGCTCAATCTAAGAGCAATTTAGCTATGCCTACTGATCGGAAGGAGAATAAATATCATAAACATGACCATTGTTCCTTTCCAGTCAGTAGAGAGCAGAGAGGCCCTCCCATTCAAAACAGGCTCCCTAAATTAGAAAGGAAGCCTAAACCAGGTCCTGCGGCTCCTATGAGCTCCATGTCTAAATTTCAAAGGGCGATAAGAGAAGCTGAAGCTAATGGAGATCTTGAATTCTCACTCTGCTTCCCAGTTGCATATGAGAATGAGTTTGGTGAGGACGAAAACCCCACCTGGGAGGCTATACCTTACAAAATACTTAAAGAATTAAAATTGGCCTGCTCTGAATATGGACCTCTAGCTCCTTACACACTAACCTTGGTAGAAACCCTAGCCAGTAAATGGATGACTCCTTATGATTGGTCACAGGTTTGTAAATCCTGTCTCTCAGGAGGCGATTACTTATTATGGAAAACTGAATATGATGATCTTGCTAAGAGCTGTAGCCACTAGCAAAAATTCCAGAGGAGGAATAACCCTAGACATGATATTAGGAGGTGATTTTATCACGGCTCAGGAGCAAATGTATATGCCCAAAGAGGCACTTATTAAAGTAACCAGTTGTGCAGTAAATGCCTGGAAATCCCTACCTTGTGCAGTAGGAAAAACCACCCTTACAGAGGTTAAACAGAAGGTCAAGGAACTGTATCAGGATTTCCTTTCTGTCCTCGTACAGGCAGTCAAGAGAGTAATCACTAATGAAGAGGCAGCCGATATCCTAATCAAACAACTGGCTTTTGAAAATGCTAGTAATACCTGTCAGGCTTTATTAAGGCCAATTCGCAGAACGGGAACTATAAATGATTTTATAAAACAGTGTGCTGATGTAAGTCCAGCATTTATACAGGGTGTAGCTATAGCTGCAGCTCTCAAAGGGGAGACATACCCTCAATATGTACAGGGCATAGGTCAAGCCAGCAATAATACAGGTAATAAAAGAAATATGAACTGCTACTCCTGTGGCTTATCTGGGCACTTTAGCAGAGAATCCCCAAATAAAAATAATAATACTCAGGCCAGATGGCAAGCTCCTCGACAGCCTGGAAATACATCAGGGAATAATATTAATCCTCCAAAAACTGTTTGTCCCCGATGTCAGGATTCCATTGGGCAAAGGAATGTAGATCGAAATACCATAAAAATGGTCGGCCTTTAAATTCTACAAACCGCTCCCAAGGAGGTTATATCCCATCACCTCAATTGGGAAACTTGAGAGGGGGCCAGCCTCAGGCCCCTGCAATAATAGGGGCATCAACCCTCAACCCCTCTGCTGCAAATTTCAATCAATCAATGACCTCTTCAGGGCAACCCCAGGCAGTGCAGGATTGGACCTCCATTCAACCACCCACGCAATACTAACCCCAGACTCGCCAGTAGCAGCCATTCCTACAGGAGTGTCTGGGCCGCTGCCTGAGGGAACTGTAGGATTAATATTAGGGCGGAGCTCCACCTCGTTACAGGGGATCTTAGTCATCCCAGGAGTTGTTGATGCAGACTACACAGGAGAAATACAGATTTTACTTTCCCCACCCACCACAACTATACAGATTCAGCCCAACCAGAGAATTGCCCAATTACTCCTGTTACCAATACATAAAATAGGGACAGCTGTTACCCAGGAAGCTAGAGGGGCCGGAGGCTTTGGATCTAGTGATGCAGCATTTTGGATACAAGAAATCCATGCTACTAGACCTACAAAAATTTTACAAATTCAGGGAAAACCAATTGAAGGTATATTGGATACAGGAGCAGATGTTTCCTGCATAGCAGGGAAGGATTGGCCCTCTTCATGGCCC